TTCACGCCTTATATACATGCCAACAGGGTTAACGTGGCGGCAAGTTCGTACCAATAAGTAAGGCCCAAAGAACACATTTTACAAATGATGTTACTGTATGAATAGGGATTATAAATGTTCTTTTCTACAGTCCGATCCTATTTTGAAAAGACAGGCGACGTGTCTTTTAAGACATTGAATAAGAGAATACATTTAATCTTACTGGATGGAAAGAATTAAAAGAATCATTTTTCCTTTCATGTTAAATTTTAATGAATTTTTTAAATTTCGAGAATTTCATCTTCTCGTTTTTTTTTCTGTTTTATAAAGTTATTTAAAAAATCTGATGAATAAATATATTTTTTTCCAAATAACCTCAATTTAAAGGTATTTTTGCTTATTAGAGTCAAAGAAATGCCTAATACCCTTTTATAATTTTCATTGCATATCAGGAGCATTCATAATAATTTTCATTATTTTTATTTCTTTTAACTTTAAAAATCTATTGGAATGTTTTTTTATAGAGAATTTGATTATTTGATATTTTTTTAAAGTGTTATAAATAAGTTAACAAGGACAATCGGATATATCATTATATTCAAGATTCAAATAAATTCAAATAAATACTGTATTGGTCAAGCTTTCGGTTTCATTGATAGTAGAATATATTGACCCTATAGGGGGATGTTAGTAGGGGTGCTCAAAAACCCGACCAACTCGATCAACCCAACGCAAAATAACCCAACCCGAAGCAATCTGATGTCTAATCGAGTTATAAAATTGTCAAACCGTAGGTATTGGGTTGATATTGAGTTACTATTATTTGAACCAAACCCAACCCGATGAACCGGATATCCTTTTATTTCTTGGATTTAATATGATTGTTGAATTTCTACTAATATATACATTAGACAATTACACTATCATGTATGTTTTTCATATACACCTATTTTCAATCTATTCATATCTCTATATAATTCATTATATATATGTTCAGTAACTGTGAACATATATATGTAAATTGAGAAAATTAATTGAATGTGATATATGTAAAAAATATGGATAAGTTGTATCAAATGGTTGATGATGAAAAAGAAATTATGAGTAGAGAAATAACATATTCAAGGTTAGAAGAATATTTTAATATATTAAAGTATCAACCCGACCAACCCGTACGGGTTGGGTTGGGTTGGGTTGGGTTGCACTTTGGTTTGGATTGGGTTGGGTTAAGATTTTTTCAAACCGCAAGCATTGAGTTGGGTTATTCAAATGTCTTCAACCCGATCAACCCAACCCATGAACACCCCTAGGTGTTGGTGCTTTACTAATTGAATGTCCTTAGTTCCTCGATTTATTTTATTTTAAAATTGTCTTAAAAATATTATACATTTATTGTAACGTTTTTATATATGATGTATAATTGTTTTTATATAAACTTTATTTTAAACTTAAGTATTTGGATTGGGACCGGTTACGAGATCACTATTTGGGACTGGGACTCATTTTGGTCCAGTCCGGACCAAGACTGATTTTTGGCCACCTCTAAGCGATAGGAGGGTTCAAGCGAGAACACATGCCAAAGTTAAAGAATACAAGAATGCTTATATCACATGTCTTTTTGTAGTAAAAGTCATATGTAATTAAGGAACGTTCAACCCTCCAAGTTCGTCGGGCTAAGCGTGCGTGCGCGCGCTCGCACCAAGGTTGTCGTTCTTTGACCTTATTCTTGTTTGAATCTCCCTCTCTCTCTCTCTCTCTCTCTCTCTCTCTCTCTCTCTCTATATATATATATATATATATATATATATATAAAAGAACGGTTCAAACGAGTTATTTTATGAAAACACAAGAACGTTATTCCATTATAGTCAATTGCATGTGATATTCTACTCTATGACGTGTATTGTGACACACATGTAATATTATAGTCCATCAAATATGATACTAAATCAGATAATCGGACGACCTAGCGGCTAGCTCGTGTGCCAAGTCACCCACACTCCATCAGGTCACTTCACGTACGTGTATTATCACGTATGATTTTAAAAAAAAAAAAAAACTTTCGTATTATCATAAAATTAAGAGGTTATCGTTTAAAAATCTACCTACATAATATATTATATTTACTCTAAATTTAATGGATCATTACTCAACTTACCAACACAAATTTACTTTTATTTATTTAATTTGATAGTGATGGTACATAGAAACAGAATAATAAATGGATATCACCAGGAATTCATTTTTACCGTACGTGTACATTTTATTTTATACAGACTATTTTATAAATATTTAATTTTATTATTTTTTGGACAAAGGGACATTTTATTCTACACATGTTCAATATTCAGACTCATATACGCCTTAAAAACTTAAGTTGATCATACGCTATAAATTTATAAGATCAAACATAGTATATAAAAGTGTTGTAATAAGTTTATAGAACGTTTTTGTATGTCTTAACAAGTTTTTCAAAACTTTAAAACATCTTATAAATTTATTGCAATAATTTCATTTATAACATATAATTGTTTAGTCCAATAAACTTAAACATTTTTTATTTTGATAATAGAAAAGGTTAATGTGAAAAGATTTCATAATTTGCAAAAGTAAAATATGAAAGAAATGAGTGGCAGTAGTTATACCTTATTAATTAAAAAAATTCTTTTACAAGCAAGTGTGTCATAGCATTAAAAGGCGAGTACATTGTATCAGCTCTCGACTATTGGACCGAATAAAATAATATCAAACTAAGGGGCCGTTTATCAAACATTTACTCGGTAAGTGTTTGTCGGTAAAATTTAACACTATTATTTATTTACCGGCTAAGTTTTAGTTCACCAAAACGACATCGTATACAACAATTTACCCGGTAAGCACTTACCATGGTAAGAGTCGTCGCCCTCACTTACCGGGTAAAACTTTTGGTCCTTGTTTCGCTCTTACCGGGTAAGATTATTGGTCTTTACCATATTCATGCAGTGAGGTAATGTTACTTGGTAAGCGCTTACCCGGGTAAGCGTTTGGTAAACGGCCCCTAAGACACTGTTTAACAAACGTTTGTTCGATAAGCATTTACCAAACCACATTAAGATGAGTTTTACTGGGTAAGTGATAGTGTTAAATTTTATGGTAATCACTTACCCGGTAAGTGTTTGGTTAACAGCCGTTAAGTTTCATTATTGGTCTTTTTAGTCGAATTGGATGACAATTGATGGTTTTTTTAACCGAATAAAAGAACTTGAACAGATTCAGACTTTGGAGAGCATTTAGACTACTGTCTACCAGTCTACTTTTCAGTTTTTCCAAATCATCGAATTTTTCTATTTCTTTAAATGTGTCGGACTAGAAATCCTAACTAGACTCTTTTAGACCCGAGCAAGTTGAACCAGTCTAAGTGCAACTTTAGCATATATCAACTATCACAAAAAGTTTTACCCAAAAAAAAAAAAAAAACTATCACAAAAAGTCCACAAAGAAAGTTCTAAATGAGAAGACTTATATTAAGTTTAATCGGGAATTGGTCTGGTTAGCATGGAGGAGATACTTTACGTGAATATTCTTATAAACTAGATAAGAATTATTATAAGTTTCTTCTTGAGTTGAATAAGACATAACTTTGATTATAAATGTAAAGTGGTACGTGTATGTTTAATCATAAATGAAGAAAGAGATGTTACCAAAAATAGAAAGGGATCGATTATAACTTGTAAGCATTTAACACAAGTCGGATAGGTAGATACCGATTGCAACCCCGTCATAAACTTTCTAGTTTCGTTACTGTATGAGACCATGTATGTTTTTTTATGCTCGTTGTTATGATGGGACATGGTTGTTTCATCCAGCAAATTATACATATAACGTATGTAGAAAGCATATCTATTCAATCCAACTTTTTCAATTAGCTAAGATGTCCTGATCAGTTAAGTAAAGCCTCTTGTTAGCATCTTGGTCAGCAACATCTACATTCTAAGAGGCTATAAGCACTTAATGCATATGTGGATGATTGCATAGAATGGACATTTAACTCAAGAAAATGTACGATAGTACTCATGAGTAGATGGGAGATGGACACATTTATGCATTGCTATTGCATATGATCAGCAGAAAGATAGGTTCCATTTACAGACAGACAAGTAAATAACTCACCTAGTAGCATTCATACCCAACAACATTAGCTACGAAAAACGAGCGTTGGATCGGGAGACAGTTGGTCGTATTTGATGATTACAAAAGAGAAACAGAAAACCCGAAGTCAACCTAATCGCCATTAAATATGTTTTTACACCTTTCACTGTATAATTTACATTTTTATAGATCTGATTAATCACATCACTTACAGTTTCACAAATTCATAAACGTTACAGACTCACGGTTAAAATGAAGTTGTAAAATTAACTTTCTAAGTTCTATTTTGAATATTTAATCAAAAACCTATTTTTATAATAATAGTCTATATGATTTTTCTACTTCTAAAATGAATTTTTATAACATCATCATTTGATTAGATAATATACATAGAACATATATCTATATATATAATTCTATATATGACATACAAATTTGCCGTCTTATATCACGCTTTAAAAACCGTCGCGTCTTTGCCGTGGCATGTACAGCTTGAGGCTTGACCTCGCCGCCACGCCACGCCTCACGTCTTTTTGAACTTTGATTTGAACCAAACAAAACTCCCCTTTAAAGAAAATTAACTATTATGATAAAAGTATGTCAAGAAGCATTAGAATGTAGTTAGTTGCATCATTTCTTCTTTCTAGTGTTTTATTTATGGTAGAGTGCAGAAGATTCATAAAACTTGGTTGCTAATTTTTAATATTAGCCTCAGATACATTTCTATTGTAAACCACACTGCATATTTATTAGAAATTGAACAACTTACAAGTTGGGAAAGATAAATGCAATTTCCAAAAATAGGAACTGAAATAACCTGAATCATGTTGATATTTAGATTTCCTGTATTCAAGGCTGAAGAACTAAAGATAGCACATCCAAATTCAGCCTCTCTCTACATAGAACCTGCAAATGGCTGAAAACTAAATACAAGAAACCTGTGAAGTAGTAGACAGGAACCAAAACCTATGGGAGAATATCAAGAAATATCAGAAAGATGTTAGTCAAAAAGAAGGAAGCCCTGCGATTAATCGGAATTTTTCGTAAGACACCCAAAACACAAATTGCCAAGGACCCAGCCTTGCCCATGTAGGAAAGAACCCTTTCCACAATGCTCTTAATCCTTCAAATCTAACCGTCTTCACAAGACAGTCATAGGAGCTCTTATACTTCAACTTACCTTCTTCATTCATCATTCTTGTTTTCACGACGTCTGCAGGGCAGCTTATAATGGTAGCTGAAAGGCCCGACATCATAGAGGCCAAAGTGTGGGCAAAAATGTTATCACTAGCAATCTGTTTCTGAATAACAAATCGTTTTGCATGATCATAACAAGCTAATTCTCCCATGTTTACTAGAAAGGCTCTTTGAACATTCGGAAAAACGCCTCTCCAAAGTCCTTTAAAGCCTTCACTGCCAATAATCTTGTGTAGAGCATTAACTGGGCCTGTGTACCTTGGCTGGAGACCTTGGCTAACCATACGGCCATCTGCTTGCATCCTAACTTTAACCAGATCAGCAGGGCTAGCCACAACCTGCATTATTAGGGTGAAGAACAGAGTGCCATACTTTCTTAAGCATGAATGTTGGTGATTTGAATTTGAAACCAATGGTGTCTATTGCTTATTTCAGGTTACAATTGCCAAGAGCTCACAACTAGTGTTTTTTCTCCTTTTTCTATGCAAGCAAGAAAACTCCTTCCTAGGAACACAGGCCAAAGTGTTGGGGGATGTTTGGTTGACTTTTCATCGAGTCATGTATGGATAAAACTGAAATTAATCTGTCTGTATGGATTCGAAACATTTTTGTTTGGGAGGGTTTTTCATACATTGGAGAAACGTGCTTTTTATTGGGAGGGGCATGTTTAATAAAAAAAAACTTTGGCTTTCTGTATAAAGCTCCTCTCTAGAAGCTTTACTGAATAAGTCACTTTCTATATCATTAAGTCACTACCAAAATGTCATGTTTAGCTGAACAAATAAGTTGTGTCGCATTAAGCTCATTAAGCTACCAACGAACAGGCCCTTAGTTGAGGGTCAAGGCAACCTTTCTACTCTTTCTTGGTGCCCTGTATGTCAACATGGTATTCCTCTCTATCCCTCTCGGAGATAACCGAGTCACTGTTTGGGCATCTCCATTTAGTTGCTTGATCATTAGCAAATACAACACAAAATTCCAAGCCAATTAGTTAACTGAGCCACTGTTTTGGTCTCTATTTACCGAGCCACTGTCTGGGCATCTCTTTATGCAGTCAGTTTTAATCAGACAACAACTTTGAGATCCTTTATGTAACAAAGAACCAAATAGACATGCCACTCCTAAATTTTTGCATCAAAAGAAAGCCAGATTTATAATGAAAGACAGAAACTCTCATACACAGTAGGTCTATTTGTACATAACAAGTCAGCATGAAACAATACATGCAGCATTTTATAAGATTAGGGAAAGAGCATGTTTCATGTTCCCTGATTCCCTCTCATATTTAAATAACACATGATTTGAACCTTTTACTTTCTAGAAAAAAGGGGTAAGAAATTTCCTCAATATTGGGATCTTTGTGTTATAATTGGTAAGGTCAAGCCTGGGGAGATTCCAGGACTGCCACGGTGTTATCTTCAACATATATAACGAGGAAAAACATAATAGACACTTATCTCTTTATCCTCCTAGTGAAGAATTTTATAGAGTATAAAAAGGAAAAGTTATGATCCTCTTTGTCAGGAGCCTGTTCTAGAGCTAGGTGGTCAACCATATGTCCTTTGTGAACTCTTATAATTGATTATTACATTTATCCTACTAAACTTTGTAAGATCTTTGTGTACTTCTTTTGTAATCTATCTTCATTTAGTTCAAAAATTATCTTCATTATTACATTTATCCTTCTTGAGGTACCTGAAAATTCTGTATGAAAGGACCCCTGTGATTATGAGCCATGAACATCCAAAAAAGGATTTCTTTCGTTACTGGACTTCTACTCTCATGAATTATATTCGGGAGCTCCTTGAAGCTGAAGCCGAGAAGAAGTCCAAAAGCATCATGCGGAGGTTGATGGGGTGTTTCTGTGAGAATCATGTTAGCTACTTAGCTGGAGCTAATTGATTTCTACAGCTGCGAATCCTGATCTCTTTATCAGCATAGCAATTGCAAATGACCTCTATGGAGGACCAACATGTCCCCACTTTTTTATGGATGCATCAATCAAGGATGAAGCACCCGTTCTTGCTGCTAAAGATTTAGGGCATCTGTGCTTCGAAATGATTCTCTAAGAATATCGCCTTTGTTCCAAATAATGTTTGTATTGGACCTATTGGTGATTCCGATCATATTAGATGTATCCTGCTTACTCGTCATAACATGGTTGGGAAGTCTTACTCTTCTATGCCAAGTTGGTGTAAAAGTCATTTTGGCCCAGATGGGAGTAGAAAGTGTTGGACACTTAAGATGTCTCCAGTTGATCGTGTCTATACTTTGATGGTGCAAAGGAACATATGATGGCAGGCCAGAGTACAGTTCTAACTGAGCTTCTGAAAAATAACCCATGGTTCATTGGTGGAATTAGACGAATTTGGACAAGCGACAACAACGTAAGATGGACATCCAATAGTTGTTTCTGTTCTTGAACACCCTGGCAATAAGATCTAGTGTCAAGGGATTGATGAAATGAGTTGGAATCATTTTTTCTCACCTTGAGGACAAGGTGGAAGTTTGGGGGCGGGTATTGTTATACCCCTAATAATAGTTGTGCGATGCATAAGTAGTACAAGGGCATTCTAGAAGGTCCAAAAAGCGGTGGTAAAAATTGTTAGTTTGGCTGGGAGTTTCTGTTTTAGAATACATTAGCAATTAGTATATATAAGGGGAGGACGAGGAGTGTCAGAAGGGTATTTTATTTTGTAAACACATATTGGGCATGAGCCTGTGAGAGAGTCTCACAAATAGTAACCAAAAGTCAGATCGATACTGTTGTAATCATTCCTAAAATAGTGTAATCTTTCAAATTCTAGCAGAATTATGGTTCTGAATCACCAGTGTTCATCAATTAACTGAATTTACTTGCTCAAACTACCCATCCCCACCTGGTTGGTATTTTCCATTATCCTTACTCCATACACTTTAGGGAATGGCTAATAAAAGGAGAGGTAAAAAAGAAAGAATAAAAGCAATGAGGACCATAAGTGAATAACAATAAACGCTAAGTGAGACGAATCCATTTTGCATTAAAATCAATGTGCTTCTGAAGGAGGCCCTAAAGTAAGAAAGCAAGAGAAACAATGAGATTAAACAAATGCATTCAACTCAAAAGAAGAAGTCCAGCTTTAGACACCATTTGCAGAAGTTTGGATGGCAAAACTCAGATCCCTCTATAAATAGGAGAGTACTCATGTGTGATGTGACTGTCACATGTGTCATGCAAAGGCCCAGGGGTCATATGAACTCTTATAGACTACTTCCCAACATTCGCAAGTCCATCTTGAACAAGGGTAAGCGAGTGAGTGATCAATTTCTTGTGATGATAAGGAAGACCTTCACAACAGAACAAACAGTGTTTCATGTGATGAAAAGGGAAGGCTACCGATGAGAAAGGTACACAAGGAAGATTAGAGAAACAAAGTAATCTTTGACTCGCTGCACCTTCGTTATCACCTTTAGTCAGTATTAACTCCTATCATACATTGCCTCTAAGAGAACGCTTTTCCTTAGTTCCTTATTGTAGAACAAACACTCTTTCCATGAAGGTCTTTCTCATGTTACTGCTATCAAATACACTTTTTCAACTCTACGACTTTATAAGCATCCTCTAATTAGTAATTACATTCTTAGATGATAGGATTTTCCATCTACTGTATATTACTGAAAGGAATTAGCATGTTTTCTCGTCCCAATTACTTAATTCATGTATATTAATCTCCGTGAAATACAGACCAAATTATGCATATGTAACTATAAGAACAATATAATCAATTCCCTAAAAGTAAAAATAGGGTTTATAGTACCTGAGCAATAACGCCGGAAATCCCTCCAATGAGCGCCTTACTTGGCAGAGAAAGAGACAGATTACCATCAGTGAGGAAAGCGTGACGCAATTGCTCGTAACCAACGGTCCGAATCGGTGTGTAGAAGAGGTGTCTAATAACGGCAGGCGACAAGCCCTTGTACAGTCCTACTAGGCCTTCTTTGCGAACGATGTCGGCGGCGACCTGAAATGCTGAGATTGGGCGAGTTGTTGAATGGGATATGCTCTGTAACTGAAGCCTCGTCTTGGTTATATCTATTGGGAAGGTGGTGGTTTCCGCCACCATTGCAGACAGCGACGCCAGTGCGATCTTGTTCGTCGCCTCGGATCTCGGCTGGGTTTGTTGCCGAGCCATGGAGATCGAAGAGAACCCGATCAATTACTCTTTGCAGCCAGTTACGAACCCATTCCTCTGATTTCATGGATTACTCGCTTCATCCCATGTTATTAACCCTTTTATCCATTATTTTTTTTTTTTTTTATACATAACAAATTTTAAAGTACATTACAGATTTGGTCCATGTGGTATGTGAATTTATATGATTTAGTCCTTAGATTTTATTTGTTACATAAAATAGCTTTGTGGTATGCACTTTCTGTTGGATTTGATCCCTGGACCAAACGTCCATCCATTTTCTCCGTTAACTTTAAGAGCATTTATGTCTTTTTTTTAACATTTTATTTTTTAAGCACCAATAAATAACACCATGTGGCATGAAATTGAAAAAACAAACACCCTCTCCCTCTCTCCCTTTCACCTTCCGTCAATGTGAACCTACTCCATCTTAAACAAATATTTTGCATGTCAATAATTCCTTGTGGCCTTTCTAGATAATTTTGTTGTTTCTGTACTCCTCCTGCACCCTACTACTCCAATGAACCTCCTCCTTTTTTCAAACAAACCCACTACGGAAAAGGAATTCATTGTGTGTGTTCCTAGAGGTACTTATGACTAAGAAAGAAAGCCATGGGAGGGGAGAGATACGCACGAAGACACACAAAAAAAGAAGAACAAGGCTTGGGGTGTGTGTGTGTGTTATGATGATAATTGTTGTGTGTGCGTGTATGTTACAGTTACTTGCCCCCCACAATGTATGTCGTGTGTTGTTGGGAAAGATGAATAGTATATTGAGTAAGGGCAGAGTAAAGTGGAGTAGGTTTGGGTTAACCGAAGTACATATTGTAGGTGGGGTCGCCAGAGGTACTCAGAAGGTGAGGGTCGTCGGAGTAGCCAAGTTGGTTTAGGGTCATCATCAAAGAGGCATGGGGTATTAGGGAGGGGTTGTTCTTGAAAACTAACAAAAGAGGCCCCTATATAATTTGGTTATTTGGTCCTTCAACTTTCAATGTATACATTTTGGTCCCTAATTCAAAACTGTTAATTCAAAAAAAAAGTTAAGAAAAGAAAAATAACAAAAAAAACCATTTTACCCTCAATTTAAATATAATAAATGAAGTCTGAGAAACAAATCCATAAAAATTTGCATATGACAGAATAAATCCGTAATTTACTCAAAATTTTGTTATTTTGCAAGCTTATTTTAAATTTAGTTTATCTATGAAAACTAGTTTTAATAAGCATTTGACGATTGTTTGGTAAAAATCTGTGATCAAATCTTTTTTTAAATGATTCTTCAAAGATATTAAGGGGCTATTTGGAATTATTTATAAAAATAATTTATTGACTTATTCTGTTGTGTTACTGGTAATAAGCATTTTTGATTGTTTGGATAAATAACTTATACTGGTGTCAAACTGATAATAAGAAATTTTAAAAGATTTTAAATCATTCTAACTTATAATAGAATGATAAACATTTTTGTAAAAAAACATAATTTATTTCAAATAACCAATCTGAAACCTTCTAACATTACCACTCAAATTTCTATTGACCGGTACCCGGATCCGACTCAGGAAGCATAAACTGCATAGTCTATAATCTATACCGACATCCCATATTGCCTATAAACACAAAGTACTGTTTCAATAGCAAACATGGCGGCAAATTCACAGTCATAACTCATAAACTCTATTCTTTCCTCCAAGACTTCGACCTAGTGTTCTTGAAATTCAAATTTGCAGCCCTGTTTCTTTGCTGCTGTTGATTTTTGAATTAGGGTTTGTTTATCGGTTAAATAGATCTAATTGTATTGAACCCGCCGCAAAATGACAGCAGACGCATTATCTTCGGTTTGTTATTTGGGAGTTTTAGACTCTCTCTCCGAAGCTTCAATTGCTGAGATCTTGGAGAGCTGGAACAGCTTATGTTTGGTAACAGAAGTGATCGTCATAGGTGATGATGCTGACTTATCGTCATCTTATTCGAAGTTCCAATCGTATGTCTCCCGTCTATGCAAGCATGGTCTTCGATCTTTAGTGGAAGAACACTTCCTAATATCCCTCTAGGTATAAGTTGCTTTTGGAGTATCTTTCAACACTATGTTGTTTTTTATTTGATTCAAACTTACAACCCTAATTTTGTATATTATATATATTTGGTGATATAATTTTGTTTTCGTAAACAAGAATGTTGATCCTGCAATTTTGATTGCTACCTGGATACTGACTAAATAGTATGAAGTGTCATTTTAATTTATCCATCCTGAACTTAGTTATTGATTGGCAAAATTATTTTAAAATATAGGTGCATCTCACATAAACTAGGTTGTTTGTTGGCTGAATTGCACTTGGAAACCACCGCATTGGTGATCAGACTGTTGTCTGTAAGTTATGTTTTGGAGTAACTGATATATCTACAGTTCTCAGAATCTGTATGCAACTACTATTATGAAAACCATCAATGAGATTAAAATGTGGAGATCTTATCGTTGGAGATGTGCTCTTTTTGTTGCCAATATATAGACAGGTAAAACTGTTTCTCAGAAGTTTAAAGAAACATGATGAAACAGAAATACACAAAGGTTGAGGTTAATACTGTTAAATAGGTAAACCAATGGGGTTACAATCACTACACCATCAAGACATTTTGTAAACTATCAAACACATCAATACATCATCTCCTTGCAGTCCATATAATACTAGCCACGAACCAGATGAAGTAGGTGATTTCCCTGGAGCCTGGAGGAATTTGACCTATACTTGATGATTTCATAAAATGTTTCCAAGCCATGAAAGTTCTATCTTTCATGTCAATGTGAGGATTTGTGGTAGCTACGCTAGGAAGCTTTGAATTCTGTTGTAACTGACAGGATTCAGTTTTCTTCTTTGTGCTCCTATATAGCCTCACAGAAAGGCCCCCTCATTGGAAGCTTTCAACAAGACCTGAGTTTTTTAGGCTTTCTTGATGATAGTTAAAGCATGGGACCTTACATTCTTTAATGTTAGATTTCCTGAATTGACCCTGGAATAAGATCCTACACTGTACATTTTTCCATCCATAGGATGTGAGGGGTGCTTTTTGGTACAGGACAGACCTTGCAACAAGGGCATTATAGGTCATGTCCTTTCTCTACCGTTCCCATCCCTCAAGTACTGAACTATAGGTATAGCAGAGGAGAAACCTTGCATTTTGGTTGCCAACAGCGAGCGATTTCTCTCCTACTCTTTCTCTGGAATGTCAAGATGCATCTCAATGACATGCCCATTATCCACCTTGTTAACAGTGACATTGCTGCCCACAGCAGTGAGCTATTTCTTTGCATATCTCGCTTATCAAACTTCTATCATGTATGGTGTAGCAAGGAATCTAAAATGAGGTGTAGCAAAATATGTATTTCTGTATGTTATATTCGTTGAGGTTTCGTTGCTTCTTCTTTTTAATGTCTAAATGTAGTTGTTGGTTCTATTGTTGACATGTGTATTGCATGTTACTCTTTGATCTGAATCAGCAACATTGTTTCACGTGAACAGGACATGTTAGAGAAACATGTTTCAACGAAGCTTTGGAAGAATTTTGATGCTTATAGCATGTTGACACTTCTACTCACCATGTAATTTGCTGCTTGCTAAATCATATCTGATATGCATTTGGCATTGCCCCACAGCTCAACTGTTATTGCTCAAAAAATTCCTTTGGGATTGGATATGTGCATTAATACTTCATATGAACAACACATTTTTAGAGCTTTTTCATTTGAAGTCCATATAACCATAAATTTTGTTAATTACTTGGTCTATAAATCAAGATTGGTGAGATACATGAAACTTTGAGCAGTTTGCTGATGTACATGAACCTGTTCCTCTGGAAATTTGAAGAAAATGTAACTTACATCTTCCTCTGTCCAACATTTGGTGTGAAAGTTCTCTCATTAGTCTATAACTTTTTCTCGTGAAGCATAAATAGTTTCTTTTTAGGTCTTCTATACTCCCCTTAGTGAGGAAGAATAAAGATGCTCTTAAAATTGTGTTGGAAAAAGTTCATTTGCTGCAAGGTGCTGATTATTTATACAAGTTAGCCTTTCCGTCTTATCTTTATTTTTCAAAGTAACAGCTTTGAGCATTGTGTTAGGAAGTGTTGAGGTGTGGTCTATCTAAATCACCTAAGTTTCTGCATTATATACCTACATAAATGCATACATACATACATATATACCCTCACTTGCACATATGTGTGCCTATTATAGTAGTTGTTTTTTGATTCTGAGTTTGGTGGATCTTCAAACAGATGGAAGAGGATGAGGTTGAATTACTACTGTGTAAAGCTTTGGAAGAAATATCACTGGAGAAACAATACCAAGAAAAGTATTTATTGATGTTGGTCAAGTCTTTACAGCTATGCCAAGAGAGCACATCAATGGAAGGACACTCCTCAGATGTGAAAAAGTTCTTATTTTCTAAATATCAGTTAATTGTCTATTCTGTTCTTATGACCACTTTGCCACGACAATTTCCAGGTATTTGTTTCTGGAGATGTTAATTAGGCACACTGCTTGCTCTCATTGACTTGACTGTTACCTCGAATTTATGAACACAAACATTAGTCTTAATCTGGCATTTTCTGTCTTTCAAGTTATACATTTTTTCGGCAAGATTAATAACTGAAGGTCAGTATAATTGAAGTGACACTTGTATATTGAGTTAGCACTTGCTTTCAGGTAAGCTTTTGTAATCCTCACTAACTTGTTCTCCAAATTTCTTCTGGTCATAGCTTCCATCAATATCCATGTTTCCAAATCGAGTGGGGTGTTTACCTTTTTCATATGATTCTATGCCATTCTTATCTTGTGATTCGTTATCTTCACAATTTCCAGCCCTGATTGTACTCAATTCTCCCAATCTTCCTTTTTCATATGATTCTATGCCATTCTTATCTTGTGATTCGTTATCTTCACAATTTCCAGCCCTGATTGTACTCAATTCTCCCAATCTTCCTTTGAAGTACCAACGTGGTACCTCTACAAACATGTTAATAGGCAAATGTTCAGAATCCTAACATAACTTTGCATAGCAAAGGTCAACTTAAAGATAATATATGTATAGACCTTTGATGCATGCATTTATCCTGAATATTGCTCAAATATGATTTAGCAGTCAAGGCTAAGTCTACATCAGTAAAACACACATCATAGGTAGATAATACTGGGATTAAAGTTCTTTTAGCAATATTAGTTGTAAACAAGTTGATACTATATCTAAATGCAAAAGAACTATATATGCATGTTCATGAAAGAGTAACAAAGGTTTTCGTTAGTTTAGTGTTCTCAGATCTTGCTTTTCAATATATTTGCATTGCTAATTTCCCATATAACTTTGAGTTGTGTTCAATATAAAGCCTTGATGTAGCATCACCACCATCTGCTGAAATCGTCACATAATAAAAATTACGCCGAATTCATTATTCTATTTCTATCATCTGAGTAGTGATAATAGATGAGTCATGAAAATACCAAAAGAACAGGCCTGATTATTTGTCTTGCCGAGTGACCCATGACAGATTTAGCCAGAGGATGAGGATGCTAAGTTTATAGAACCTTGGTGCACTCATACTAAGTCTGAACAAAACTGAGGAACATTGGAATGGTTGTTCATAATCTCAGAAGTCTTGGATTTACTTCCATGGTTGAAGATGCCTATGCTTCTGCAATATTTTTGCTTTTGAAGGTGCACTCTTGCTCCATGCAACGGCCATCCAGCTTATGTGATATACTTATTATGTACTGTAGTTGAATTTGTTTTATATTGCAAGAGTTTTTTATAACTTGATGTAAAGGTAGATTTGTTTGTATTGGTGAGTACATCTTGCTGTCAAGTGGCTGAGCCTTTGGATATGTTTAACTGTACACTTGTCGTCGTCTTTTTTTGTATCACATATATGTATGTTCCTTATAATTCTGCAGGCGAAGATGTAACGGTCCTGATGAAGTTATTTATTCATGGGCGTACACGGTATCAACCTAAGGCGGCTTTTTTGGTCGATTTCGTACATATCTTAATATCTTTGCATGTTGTACATTTAATGCTCTTAAAGCAGCAGGTTGGTCAAATAACCATCAAATCAACTTTGGTAGAAATTATTAATAGCCTACAGCCTTAAACTTATGAGGAACTCATTATCTGATTTTCTATTCATGTGAGACAGGTTGTTACAGTTTACATCTTATCTGTTCATGTGGGAGAGGTTGTTACAGTCTACATCTTATCTATTCATGTGGTATTGTTACAGTTTACATATTATCTTCTTATATGAGATAGATTGTTACAGTCTACATCTTATCTATTTATGTGAGACAGGTTGTTACAGTCTACATCTTTAACTTTGATTTAAAATTAAAATCATGTTATATTTTATTATTTATGAAACTCGGGTTGCTAAATGTTCCTGCACCAATTAAAATGTGTATTTTTTTAAATTTAATTTTAAATTGTTATGAAAAAAGTAAGGGTTGAAATTCAAATGTGAGGTGAAGCCAAAGGTTGTTACATTGTTTGAATAAGATACCCATTCTTGTATGCTTTTGGAGTAATGTCTTTACCAACGGATTAGGAAACAAGAAGTCAAAAATCATGATTAATGACTTATAAATTGAAATTAATTATTTTATAATAAGTATTTTATACAGAATTAAGTCAAATTATGCATTGAGAATGTAAAAAATAACCCTTGATTTTGACGTTTGTGAAGAGAAAATTAGATAAATGTACATTTAACAAATATAAGAGTATTTGGGATAAGGGTTTTTCGTGAGACCTGTAAGATCAATTCTCAACCATTGGATTAGATCTATAATCTGAACATTCATAATCATAAAATTACCACGAGAMTTCTCAATAATCACAAAATTATCACCATGCAACTTTAGACTATTGGATTATTAACTTATAAATTTGATCAATGAACATAAATTAGTCTTACGGGTCTTACAAAAAACTCTTGATCTCACGTGAACTCAACCCTGTATAAGAGTGAATTTATCTTAACCCATGTATAAATTACAATTTCTCTTTTTAACAAAAAAAAATTTTGGTCTCTTTTCTATCTCACCAATCAACTTATTACTTTGATAGATGTCATCATTCAAAAGCTCCTGAATGGAAATAACTAGACCGTTAGATTTATAGAAGGCATTTTCAAATGAATATTAATAACGATCACAGGAGGAATCTTGATCGGGATTAACTAATATGACCGTTACTTCCCCTTCATTTCAAATTTTCACAAACACCCAAAGTTGCCAAACGAGAGAGAGAGAGAGAGAGAGAGAGAGAGAGAGATTTGAACCGCCATTGAAGATGAAAGAAGCAGAGCAACAATCAAACACAGAAGAAGACGAGAAGATGCAACATCTCAGATTGAAAGCCAATGAGTTTCTCCTTAGAGAAGAATGGGAACAATCAATTCAAACCTATTCCCACTTCATCTCTCTCTGCCAAACCCGCATTTCAAATCCCCAAATACGACCCGACCCCAAGCTCCAAAAATCCCTCTGTTTAGCCTTCTCCAACAGAGCCGAAGCAAGGTCAAAAACCCGTGATTTCGATCGAGCTCTCCAAGATTGTGATGAAGCATTGCAGATTGAAAACACCCATTTCAAAACCCTCATGTGTAAAGGTAAGATCTTGCTCGGTCTTGATCGATACGGTATGGCTTTAAACTGTTTCAAGATTGCAGATCTTGGTCATCCCAGTAATGCAGACTCTGAAACCCTAAATGGGTATTTGGAAAAATGCAAAAAGCTGGAGTTTTTATCAAGATCTGGAGGTTTTGATTTCTCTAATTGGATTTCGAATGGGTTTAAGGGGAAGTTTCCTGAGTTAGCAGAGTATATTGGTGCTGTAGAAATCAAGAAATCTGAGATTAGTGGCAGAGGTTTGGTTGCAACAAAGAACATTGATGCTGGTTCTTTGTTGTTGGTAACTAAAGCTATTGCAACCGAAAGAGGCATATTGCCCGAATCGAAGATGGAAAATGTGGGTGAAAATGCTCAAATGGTGATGTGGAAGAATTTTGTTGACAAAGTTGTTGAATCAACCTCAAATTGCAAAAGAACACATTGTTTGCTTTCAAAGTTGTCGGCTGGCGAAAATGAAGAAGCTCTCGAGGTTCCTGATATAAGTACTTTTAGGCCTGAATTAGAGCAAGATTATAGCTTTTCGAATGAAAAGATCGAAATGGGAGTTATGTTAAGCATATTGGATGTGAATTCACTTGTTGAAGAAACATTTTCAAGTAAATTTTCAGGTAAAAATGATGATCATCATGGTGTTGGGATATGGGTTTTAGCTTCTTTCATCAACCATTCTTGTAATCCTAATGTCAAAAGATTCCACATTGGTGATCATGTCGTTGTTCATGCTTCTAGGGATATAAAAGAAGGTGAAGAGATCACAATGGGCTATTTCGATGTGTTTTTTCCCTTGAAAAACCGCAAAGAAATGGCAAAGAATTGGGGGTTTGATTGCCATTGCAAGAGGTGCAAATTTGAGGATGTGATTTCGGTAAAACAAGAAATGGGGGAGATTGAAATGGGGTACGAAAGAGGGGTTGATGTTGGTTCTATGGTGTATAAGTTAGAGGAGAGTATGAGAAGGTGGATGGTAAGAGGTAGAATGAAGGGTTATTTGAGAGCTTCATTTTGGAAGGTTTATTCGGAACTTTTTGTTTCAGAGAAGTTGATGATGAAGTGGGGAAGGAAGGTTCCGACAATGGAGATAGTGGTGGAGAGCGTGGTTGAGGCCGTTGGCGGTGATGAGAGGGTTTTAAGGGTGGTTGTTGAAGGGATGAAGAGGAATGGTGGTGGTGGTGGTGGTGGTGGTGGTGGTGGTGGAGTGGTGGAGATGGAGAAGGCAATGAAGTTAGGAAGGGGAGTTTATGGGAAGGTAATGAAGAAGCAAGCCATGAGAAATCTACTCTCTTTGACCAAATTGGGGATGATCTAATGACAAATTTTAGGGTTTAGAGTAAATTCTCATTTGCACTTTTAGGTTCTAATTTGGGCAATTTTAGTTTTCTTGAAATTCTAATTTGTTTTCCATGTTTGATTCCAAATTATGTTGGAATACAAGAAAGAGAAAGAAATTAGAACCATTTTGCTTCTTATAAAAATTGTTATGTATGCAAAATTGGATTACATTACAAAAAGAATGTTAGCACCGAACAAACGACAACAAATTTGTAACTATGGATGAATTGTTAGGTCTTATAAAAGTAATTTTAAAGATCTTTTTACTGAATAGGTAAAAAAATGTAGATGATGTTACTTTTGTAACTATATGAATCTTTATCGGTTGTTTCAAGCTGTCGATAATTAAATGCAACTTTTCCGAAAAAAACTATTTCCGTTTTTCTTTTTTTACTTATAGCGGGCCGTTTACCGGATGCTTATTGGGTAAGTAAGCACTTATTGACAAGAGTCACCACCTTATTTACCTTTTCAGGTAACATTCTCGACCAACAAGATGGATTGTTGTAAGTGTCTCTCACCCTGTTAGAGTTTACTGGGTAAGATTCTTCTCCTTCACTTACCGGTAAGATTCTTGATCCTTGTTATGTCTCTTACCGAATAAGATTCTTGATCTTTGTTATGCCTTTTACCTCATAAGATTCTTCTTACTGGGTAAGATCTTGATCCTTGCTATACCTTTTACCGAGTAAGATTCTCGGTTGTTGTCATGCTTACCCGGTAAGGCAAATAACACCTAGTAAACATTTACCTGGTAAGCGTTTAGTAAACTGCTCCTTAGTTAACGTTGAATTTTGGTTCCCAAAAATTCTTTTTGTTATTTAACGGATCATATAAATAATATATCAATAGTTTTCTTGTCCCAAACTAAATATTTGTGATGAGAAAGGTACATAGTTTTCGAAATATGTAAGTACTATATTTTTTAATAGTAGAAAAATAGATTTTCTATCATCTTATAATTAAGGTTAGAATTGGAAAGTAGATACATACTTTTGAAAGCGGATACTTATTTTAAAGACAAACTAAAATAGAAATATAGACACTTATTTTGAGATGATAAAAGTATAAAAGAAGAAAAGAACAATGAGTTTGTATGTTTAATGAGCTCCACGTATGAAAAAAAATAAACAACTTTTCACTTATTTTGCCGGCATGTAGATATCGATAAACAAACAACTTTAAAAAAAAATCTTCATCCGAATTACGAGCGAAAAACTATGACCTTGCAACAGTTACACGTTTTTTACTTGATAAAACTCGATAACAACTTGATGGTTGCTTGACAGATATCTAAATTCTGTCAATATGTTGATCTAAAAAAATAAACAAATTAAAGAACCATCTTGATCCAAGTGAAAACTTATGACTTTGTGATAGTTTTACAATAGCAGCTCGATGGATCTCAAACAAACCACATTTATAACTTCAAAAAAAATATCTTGATTCAAGTTACTAATAAATAAAAGGTTAAGACCTCATAATGGTTACATAAGAAGAGAGCTTAATAACAATTATATAGTCGCTTAACTGTTCCCCAAGTTTTCTCGGCATGTAGAACTCGAGAAATATAAATCACTTCAAGAAAATTGCCTCGATCCAATATACAAGTGAAAAGTAGGACCTCACGATGGATATCAGTAGATAATAACAACTCTATGGTTGCTTGAATGATCTCCAAGTTTTTTTTTTTATTAACCTGGATATCATCCAACCCGCTATGCGAGGCGACTAATCTCAGGACGACCACTTGCTTTGCAGATAGCCCGGAGTCACAGCATTTGAACCTCCGTGACCACAAGGGATTTCAAATTATCTTGATCCAAGTTACAAGTGAAAAGTTATGGTCTTATGATCAATGTTTACACGATAATTCAAGTTATCGTGTAATCATCATATAATTGTTATTAGTTCATAACTTTTCACTTGTAACTTGAATCGAGATGTTTCTTTTTTCCACTTGCAACCCTTAAGTTGATATCAAGTTTTATTGAGTATATACCATGTAATCATCGTGAGATCATAAATTTACGATAAGTTGATATCAAGTTTTATTGAGTATATACCATGTAATCATCGTGAGATCATAAATTTTCACTCGTAAAATGGATTGAGATAATTTCTTTTACGTTATCTTTTTTTTATTTTCAAATTTACATGCTGGAAATTTTTGAATATCCATTGAGCAACCGTTTAAGTTGTTATCAAATATAATCGTGTAATTATCATAAGATGGTAATTTTCACTCGTAAGTCGTGACTTGGATCGAGATTATTTTTTTAAGTTTTTTATTTTGTTCGATCTAAATAATGAAAAAAAATCGGAAATCTTCAAGCAACCATGTATCAAATTCTATCAAACATTAACCATATAATCATCATTTAACCATCTAGAGGTCGTAATTTTGTATGATTCAAGACAACTAACAATGATAAAATTTGAACTTCAACCATAAGGGTGGTGTTTGATTGCTTTGAGCATTGGACTCTAAAGGTCAAAAGTGTCTTGAGATTACAAGTTTAAACCAATGAGGAATAAAAATCCACTTGTTGCCACGGAGGTTCAAATACGGTGACTCCGTCTAATCACAAAGCAGGTGGTAGCCATGAGATTGGTCGGCTCACATAGCGGGTTGGATATCCAAATTAATCAAAAGAAAAATCGAACTTATTTTTCATGGTGGGACTGGTTTTAAAGAAAAGAAGAGATAAGTAGACAGAAGAAAATACTAAGAATTAAAATGGGTTTTTTTTATAATTAAAATAAAATAAATATAAAAATCCAATAACTATTTATGTAAAAAAGTTACATTTGGAGATGTCAACATTAATTGGTGAAGGGATATGATGGTGGGGAATGAGGTATAGCTTTGATTGCTATTATGGAGTCTTGTGAAAATATCTATTTCCATTGGCCCTATGTGGAAATGAAAACAATGAAAACAACAAAAACAAAAACATCATTTTCATAAACTTTTATATTTTGTCGTTGTTGAGTATAAGATGAAATGGAACCTCAATTATTGAAGGCATTTGCATTGATGTTATAAGATAACAATTGAGTAGGTTCTTTGAACATAAACTTCCCTTTTTCTCATGTAATCCATTCTTTTTTCAGATGTTGATTGTAAATTAAATTAATTTTTTTTTATTAAAATCGTGAGTCTAGATGTGTAACAACTCACGTCTGGAATCCCCTAATATCCTTGCGTTAAAATCTTGACCATATGTAAAACGTATATGTAACAACTTGTAATTCAAAAACCCTCGTTTATGGCTAGTATAGATACAAATTTCAATAATAAAATGGTGTTTGAATGTTCATTTACAACCCCAATCAATTGAGACTTACTATATATGATGTGTGTTTCAAAAATACAAGGACCTAACCACAAGAGTGGTGTCCGACTGGTATAAACTTGAGCTCCAAAGATCAAAAGTGTCTGGAGGTCATAGGCTAGAATCCAATGAAGAATAAAAATCTCTTTGTGACCACGGAGGTCATCCGTAGAATGAGTGGTCGTCCTGTGATTAGTTGGCTCGCATAGCGGGTTGAATATCCAGGTTAATAAATAAAAAATAAGGACCCAAGATGATATGGATACAATCATGTATTGTTACTCGTGAAAACTATATTGTTCATTCTTTTGTCTCATAAAAATGCATTATTATTGTTTATTTGACATTTTTTTGCAGATATACATTCGAACTAAGTTATCAATGTTTTTGTCATTATTATCGCGGTGGATTATTATTATTTTTGATTATGTGTTCTAAATTTATTTCCATTTTAGTCGGAGGAAATGCATTTCTATTTTTTCCATACATATATATTATATATAATGACATAATCAGATGAGAACAAAAAAATATTGAGAGCTATGAGAACCACTTCTCATGTGTTGTATCACATAATGAAATAATGCATGTGAATATACAGTCTTATGAAACAAATAATATTGAAATAGACATTAAAAATACACATTGTAAAATACTACTATATTTTCACATGCAACATTTCACAAAATGTGAAACAACATATAAAATCTCGTTTTCATGATTCTCATGGTTTTTTTTATGGTTCTCATTTCATTAGTCCTCTCTTTCTATATATATATATATATATATATATATATATATATATATATACATATATATATGTCCAATTTGTTGACAGATGTATGTATATACGTATGTATGTGTATATATTGTTGACAGATGTATGTACGTATGTATATGTATATATATAGGGTTGGGTTCACATGAGACCAATGGTTTTTCGTGAAACCCGTAAGATCAATTATCAACCCTTGGATTAGATCTTCAATCTGAACATTCATAATCACAAAATTGCCATGAGACTTCTCAATAATCACAAAATTGTCGTCGTGCAACTTTAGACCATTGGATCATTAGCTTATAAAGTTGCTCAATGAACATAAATTGGTCTTACATGTCTCAAGAAAAATCTTTGGTCTCACGTGAACCCAACCCTATATATATATATATATATATATATATATATATATATATATATATATATATATATATATATATATATATATATATATATATATAGGCCTAATCAAATGAGAACTAATTAGTTTGTGGTAACCGTGAGGTCCAACCTCAACCTCAACCTCAACCACAAATCAATAGATAAATTAGGAAATTTATAATTTTGGTAATTTTGAATTAAAATTTAATGCAATGACATTTTAGGTATTTTAAAACTTTCATCTCTCCTCTCTTCTCTCTCCGTCCCCCGTCCTCCGGCCACTGTCCTCCGGTCACCGTCCTCCGGTGATACTACAATGGTATCACAATGCATCATATATGTGTTTGGGTATCACACCGAGGTCATTTGTGTGGTCGATTGGAGATGTAACACAGTGGTAATTCAATTGGTACTACATTGGGTATCATATTGCATCTTGTATGTATTTTGGGTATCACAACGTGGATGATCGGTATGTATTCCTTAAATTTAGATTATGGATT